CTCCTACTGTTCTGTGACTGTAAATCCTCCCTTGAAAGACTTTGCTGGATGTGAACAAGCATAATTCACAGCAAATTAATACAAGAGTTTTTTGTCGGGACAAGGAGTTGCTTTATGCTCTTGGGAAGCCTAGGTCAGAACAGTAGGAGCTTGCAAAACACAACATAAATGCTCCATCATCAAATGTTAGAGATATTAATCAGAAAACATAATGCGTTATCATGGGAATTGTTTCTCTGGATTCCTACAAAGGCAGGGTGGGGTTGAAGACGTGAAGCATGAAGATCCTTAACACACTAAGGAAATGAGGATTTGTTTGTTTGTGAGAATGTGTCTCTTTGGGCCTTGCTATCCTCCTGTTTGTTTATTGGCTTTATCCCTGCTGCAGAGAGACTCTCTGAGGTTTACCGTTTCCATCAGTACAAAGAATAAAATGTCCACAATAAAAAACAAATCAAACAAGATAATCAAATAACAAATCCAAGCATGCACTGGGCTATAACCGGCAGCATCCATAATTCAAAGGCTCGCTGACAAAAGCTTCGGTTTTTTAAGGAATTTAGGAGAACACCGAGACCAGAGGGGGTATGGGTGGGAGATCTTTCAAAGTGCCAAAGGCACCAAGCCAAAATGGCCTGTGAGCAAAGGTGGTGTTCAGCCAGTTCTGGAGAACTGGTAGCAGAAATTTTGAGTAGTTCAGAGAACCGGCAAATAGGCTGGCCACGCCCCTGATCTTCTTTTGTTGCCCTGAACAGGAGAACTGAGCTGGAAAGCTGGTTAATGGGGTGGGGAGGGAATGGGGATTTTGCAGTATCCTTCCCCTGCCACGTCCACAAAGACACACCCACAAAGCCACACCCACAGAACCGGTAATAAAAAAATTTGAATCGCACCACTACCTGTGAGCCTCACCCCACACGCTTTGCAGAATTGGGGGAGGATGACTGGTTTAAGGCTCTCCAGATGTATATGCAGAGATGGGTTCCTACCCATTTGATCCGGTTCATCTGAATAGGTAGTAACTCCGGCAGACATGTGACCATACCAGTTCTATGATTGCCGGCGCCATCTTGATTTTCTGTTCTGTGCACGAGCAGAACAATCTTTATTTAAAAATGTTATTTGTATTTGTTTTTTAATGTTGTGTGCATGCGCAAGTCATTTTAACTGAAAACGTGCATGCCCACGAAGCATATGTTTTTTTACTACCGAACTGATAGTAATGGTGGCCGAAATCCACCCCTGCATGTATGTGATGAGCTGTTGGAGACCTGGTGAAAAAGACCAGTTCCATAAGTACTGCCAGGTCCTTTAGGTCTTGAAAGGTTAAAAGCAACACTTTTGAATTGTACTCAGATGCAAATAAGGAAGCAGTCCAGGGCCGGAGGTGTTAATGTTCATGTCCGTGTTGCAGATGTGTGCAGCCCAGTATTCGTTCTGAGTCAATTGAAGCTGCAGGGCAGCCTTCAAAGGCTACTCCATGGAGAGAGAGAGAGCATTGCATTAGTACAAATGGACAATGATCAGAGCATGAGTTATAATTACGAGGTCCTCGCAGGTCTGGTAGGACTGCAACCGATCCATCAACAAAGCTTTCCTGGCCGCAGCCTCTAACTCTGTTTTCATCTGTTGCCATGAGACCAGGAGGGTCCCCGAGAGACAGATGTGCTGTTTCAGAGACAGTGCTAAGCTATCGAGAGACCGCAACAGAAACATTGAGGTTGTGTGGTAAACAAGCAACATTTCCAAATTAATTGGGTTCAGTTTCAAACTCTTTTGCTTATCCAGATACTCACAGCCTCCAGACACTGGATTAGGACACTGATGGCCTTTCCTCTATCTCCAGAGGCAGCTCTATACAGTCGGATATTGTCAGCATATAGCAATAGCAATAGCAGTTAGATTTATATACCACATTACAGCCCTCTCTAAGTGGTTGACAGAGTCCCCAACCATCTGGGTCCTTATTTTACTGATCTCGGAGGGATGGAAGGCTGAGTCAACCTTGAGCCAGTCACGATTGAACTGCTGGCAGTGGGCAGAGTGAACGATAGCAATAGCCCAGAGGTGGGTTCCTACCTGTTCGGACTGGTTTAGCCGAACCAGTAGTGGTTTGCTGGCCTGGATCACCAGAATCAGCAGTGACCCAGGCCTGCCATGCCCTCGAACCGGTTCCCGAGTCAGCGTGGCATGTTTTTTCCCCCATTTTTTAATGTTCTGCTCATGTGCAGACCTATTTATGGGCAACTGCACCTGCACGCATGAGCGAAGCCTGGGCGCGTGCACAAAATTGCCCACGCACCGAACCGGAAGTAATGCCGGCAGCAACCCACCCCTGCAACAGCCCTTAGACTTATATACCGCTTCACAGTGCTTTACAACCCTCTCTAAGCGATTTACAGAGTCAGCATATTGTCCCCAACCATCTGGGTCCTCATTTTACCGTCATCAGAAGGA